CCACACATCCCCTTCAACAGAGGCTCTCTCAATGACCCCGCAGTCCTGTTTCCACACTCCGGTCACATCCATTCAGCACTGAGTGGAAATCCAATGTTCAGAAGAGCAGTGTACATGTCAAATGATGGGCTGGTAACTAGAACTATTATGTACAGTTTCCGCTGACATAATTGGCCGCTATGAGCTTTGGGACAAATTAAAAATCTAAAAATTGTTCCTAGACTCTCTCTCCCTGAGAGGTCCTGATAATAATTTTTAACTCCTACACTTGGCTATAGCTTTAAAAAACAAGGGGCAAAAATACACTTCGATGATTATAACCAGGAAGTAGGCCTGGTTAATCTTTGTTTTCTCACAAACGGTTCAATTCCTGATCTCCAGAAACAGTCTCTGGGCTCCAGGTTTCAGATTAAATGCTGGCACAGGTGGCTCCATCCCGAGACATAGTGAGAACATACATAATCCAGACAGAGGGTTAAAATCCTCTGACTCCCCCTCTGTCTAACTAACCCTATAAAATCTGCGTTTTAATAGCTGATTTTCTGGGGATCACAAGATTCCTTCTTTGCATATGCCCCTGGTGGAATTAATGAGAAAGGGAGAGAAAGGCATATGCTTAAACGCCTAGGGGCAATTATAACAAAGGAAGAAATTACTGTCTATTAACGCAATTCCAGCACTCACCGAATACTGTTTGCTCTAAACGTCCCAGAAATACCATGCTCTGCACACTGAAATCCCTGTAACTAATGTGCTTACAGACTCTAAGAAGGCGATAGTTACCAACTAAAAACTGGCCAAAATAGCAGCTAACATGTAGACATCTGCTTTAAAGAGAAGCAGCCTTTCCACCTGCAATCGCAGCGCACACGGCTACACTCTAGTTCACATATCACTGACAGCATGATGAGAAAGCTCCTGTCAGCTGCTGGCCAGCCGGGTGTCTGAGACAAAATGCACAGCCCCAGCTGACTAGTTAGAGAAAGTCTGGTGAGGTACAATCAGAGGCATATGACAAGGCTTCATGCCTGACTGATTTGAGAACCGGTGACATGGCTTGAAGCAGCAACCCTCCCCACCTATGGTCCCAACAGCAGTACGTCCACCGATGTGCCCTTGTAAGTCACGATTTATTCCTCCACTTTGAATACGCGACACTCCAACACGAGGTGCTGCCGAGTCTTCCAAGGTTCACTCGGGGCGTAAGCTTCTACCTGCCTACAGCATGCATAACATCAATGTTCTTGTTCCGGATTGCCAGAAACCTTTCCACGTGTGCTTGGTAATGTATAAACAACCAAGTAAAAGCAATTCATTAAACTCAAACACGCAAATGTATAACAAGGGGTCCTAACATAATACATATTTTAATACACAATTAAATTTTTTTTTAAATAGAACAAGATTTTTTATATTTATGCTTAGAACTATTTTTTTAATTTTCAAATTTATCTTCACAAAAGTAACAAATGTTATCTCTAACCACAAATGGCACCTAAAGAAAGGGCCATCAAGTGAACTGATTCTCTACCACGAAAACCCAGAGCAAGTGGTAGGAGTAACAAGTATCACTCTATCTATTATAATCACGAAAACTATGATTGCTGCAGACTAATAACCAAGGCAAACAAAATTCCTGAAACTACAGTGAAATGATCCATATTAAGATGCTTAATTTATATGTGCTCTTCCAATAATTAAAATGTGAGCTGTACGGGCCAGCAGGAGGCGTGGTGGTTAAGGCAGCTGGACTCTCACATGGCTGACTGTGGTTCGAGTCCCAGATTTGGCAGCCTGTTTTCTCACTTAACTTCTCTCTCTCTGTGTCTCTCTGATGAACTTCAAAAAAATTAATAATAATAATGACAATGAATAAAACTATTTAAATGGGGGCTGTAGATTTTTAAAAAATCAACACTGGATAAAACATAACTTCTAGCATTAAATAGACTATATTCCCTATAGTTTATTTTAAAAAATGAGAAAGTAAAAAACTGAAAAGCAAGTCAACCCATTAATAACTGTTCTTTCTTCGAATGATTCAGAGATTTTATTAAATTAATAAAAAAAAACAGTTTACTTCTAATTTATGGGATGGTACTAGTCCTTGACCTTAAATGTTACTACCCATGGAATTCATAGCAGATCTATTTTCATACATATAGAGACTTGTTCAAGACAGATTGGAGTAAAGCAGCTTCCCCCGCAGTAGAAGGATAAGAAGATCTTGAAAGAGTATGAATTACGTGTCTTTTATCAGCCCTACTGTCCTACAGAGTGAGCCAAAACAGAGCGGGAGACTCAGAGGTGACATTACCATCCAGTTTTCATGAAGTGTCATAAACAATTGGTATTAAATTGACCTTGAACATAGGAAGCAATCCCTGTGTAACACCAAGGCTTTCCGATAACCATCTGTTTTAAAAGTTATTTAAGTTACAGGAGAGGGATAGTATACCTCTTACTCTTGTCCAATTATAAAAGTGTAGCTAATAACCCTCACATCTGTCCTGCAGATACAATTCTAAGTGAGTGTGTAGCCTTCATCGTTACAGCGGCCCTCTCAGACGTTATTCCCACGTGACACCCGAGGAACATGAGTCAAAGCTATTGAGTCATGAAGAGGTAGCTAGGAATGATAATGAAGAAAAACAGCAGTGTTTTCAAGCATACACTCTCATGCTTTCTGATGTTTTCCTAAATAGAACAGCTTATGCCTCATTCACACAGTTGGCTCACTGGCCCTCTCCAGATGTCTGCTCAACTCCTGCCTCGTCAGAGAAACCTTCCTTCTATGATCACCTTACGTAAGGCAGGAACCTGCCCTCACCCACCCTGCTCACCACCTCTTCACCCCGTACCTGTGGCACTCACAGCCAAGTGACAACCGCTATTTATTTGATTTTTAAGTTTTTTTTTTTTTTCTACAATGTGCGTCTGCTTGCCAGAGACAGAGAGAGGGAAAGTGAGAAATCACCCCCTACGGGGGATGGCCGCACCACAATCCCTTCTCCTCCATTCTCCTCTTGGATTTTGGGCACATATGCACACGTGCCTGGTGTGAGTTTCAAGCTGCCAGGGCTGGGACTCGAGCTGTGGTTAGCCATGTGGGAACGAAGTACCTTAACCACCACATCATTTGCTGGGCCCTGTTTGTTCATTTTCTGATTATCTATTTTATGTCAGTTAGAGATAAGCACCAGGAGCACTTGGACT